TATTTTGCAGTACTTCCCAGCTTTTCTCTAACCGGAAGCCGCCATATTGAAATAAAAATAACGTCAGGCATTGATTTCCGGTCCCCGTACGTCACCCAGATACCAAAAAATACCCATTTTGTGCGGTATTCGACCAAATTTTCCAAAAACTTTTTAGGAAATAAATCGCAAATAATGTTTTTTTTTACGTCTGTTTCGACTTACGAACCGCCGGTGTGGTTCGTAAATGGAGGTATACATTGGAACCTGGAACCTAATTAAAAAAAAACCACGATTGGAAAAAAAAATCTTCGTCCGCAATCGAAAACAACAAACAGCCAAAACTGAAAGGGCCTAGCACAGGCCGAACATTTTCAATCCATTTAAATGATGTTTTTATGCATGATTTCGAACATGTGAACGCGGATTATGTTTAAGAAAATAATAAAAAAAATTAATCTACCTTGTTTGACGTGAAATACGACTCGAAGCGCATGTTCATAGTAAAAAATAAAAACCTGCGATTAAACTGATAAATGAACCTACAAGAACTGCGTAGGCCCTTTTCGAAAAACAAAGCAAACTGACATTTCGGCGAATGAACACCGAGTCACTTTGCAACTCACCTAAGAATGAACCTCTCACGTCACCCGAGTCGACTGTCGGAATAGAGTGAGAAGAGTCATGTGACTGCGAGGCCTGCGAGGTGACAATTGTCGTCTCACCTGATTCGCCACGCAGAATAACCCTCAAGGTGTTTGGTTCCGGGTTTTACATATTTTCAGGGTAGATAGGGCTACAAAATGGTGAGTTGACAACCTGGAAGGAGCGGAATACCTAGCCCTGGTCCTCACAAGTTCCTACTTCACGCCTCTTCGAGTCATATGATAACAAAAGACTACCAGCTGAAACATGAACACAGCTGGGTGGCGTAGCCTGGGCAATGTTGCCAGTCCGGCAATAGCAAAGTGAAGAGGTGCGACGCGAACACTGGCGCGGTAACCATAGTACGGTGATAGAGGAAATGCTTCACCAAACCTGAGCGTCTGTTCATCATGGAGGTGCGGCTCAAAACGGCGTCTTTTCTCCATGTTAGGAGCGGCTGATCACCGTCCTAGTGCCAGCGTGGGACTCTAAACAAAGCTGGGCACGATGGTCCCCCGGCGAAACAGGGGGTTGGGGCAAGCGCAACAAGCCGCCCTGGAAAAAAAACACAAAATTGCAAATACTGTAGAAAGAAATGCGGATCGGAACAATCGGTACAGACCTAAGCGACGAAATAAGGACTACGATTAGAAACTCGGAACATGGAACTGCAAATCGCTCCGCTTCCCGGGCTGCGATAGGTTAATCTATGACGAACTTAAACCACGCAACTTCGAAGTCTTAGCACTGCAGGAACTTTGCTGGACGGGACAAAAGGTATGGAAAAGCGGGCATCGAGCGGCTACTTTCTACCAGAGCTGTGGCACCACCAACAGCTGGGAACCGGCTTTGTAGTGCTGGATAAGATGCACCAACGCGTGATTGGTTGGCAGCCGATCGACGCGAGGATGTGCAAGTTGAGGATTAAGGGCCGTTTCTTCAACTACAGCATCATCAACGTGCACTACCCACACGAAGGGAGACCCGACGACGAGAAAGAAGCGTTCTATGCGCAGCTGGAGCAGGTGTACGACGGCTGTTTGCAACGGGACGTCAAAATCGTCATCGGCGACATGAACGCTCAGGCAGGACGGGATGCCAAACAGCCTGCAGGCCGTATCGAATGACAACGGCCAACGATGCGTGAACTTTGCAGCCTCTCAGGGTATGGTAGTTCGACCCAACATTGAGCACGGGACGCCGGAGTTGCCCAGGACTACGCGCAGCAGCTGGAAGTGCACTACCCACGGAAGAGCAGCTTGGCGCAGCTTCTCTTGAAGATGGCTGGAGGGACATCCGTTCAGCCATACGTAGTACTGCTGCAGCGGCACTAGGTACTGCAATCCCGGACCGAAGAAATGACTGGTTTGACGGCGAATGCAAACTGTTAGTAGAGGAGAAGAATGCAGCACGGACGAGAATGCTGCAACACCACACGAGATTTAATGTGGAGCGATACAGACAAAACTCGGTTTTCCGAAGGAAAAAGCGTCAGCAGGAAGACCGAGATCGCGAGGGGATGGAAAATCTGTACCGCGTAAACGACACACGGAAGTTCTACGAGAAGCTAAATAGTTCCCTGATCTTCAAGAAGTTGAGGAGGAGATCGGTCGGCTGAAGAACAACAAAGCAACTAGTGTAGATCAACTGCCAAGTGAGCTATTAAAATCATTAAAATACGGTGGTGAAGCACTGGCTAGAGTGCTGCACTGGGTAATTGTCAAGATTTGGGAGGAGGAGTGGATGCCCAATCTACAAAAAGGGCGACAAGTTGGATTGCTGCAACCTGGGAGGGAGAAACAGACTCGGAAAATGTGAATGTCAAGTGAAGCCAGAAATGAGCTGTCACAAACTGTCAGTGGGAGCCAGCAGTACAAAACATCAATCAATGGGAAGTATTGATATCAAATACAAAATATTTTCTTGCTTGAAAACAATTTGCACTGCAAAATTTTCGTTTCTTCAGTTCAGGAATCGGTATATAATTTAGCTAAATTGTAGTGTATCAAGCATGTTATATCGTAAATTTGATAGTTTTCTCAAAATGGAGGGGGTTGTAGAGATATTCAGGTACGGTTACTCTAAATTTTCGGGTTCGTGTCGGGTACGAGTATACGAAGAAAATATTTTTGAGTTCGAGTAAGGGGTATTATTGGGTACGGGTAGCATCGAGGGGCACGCAAAAACTTCAACTCCAGCACAGGAAGCAGCCGTAATTAAATTAATTGCATTAATTACAGGGGTCAGGTCGGGTTCGGGTTCTTGAAATTTTTATGAATTGGGTACGGGTTTGGCTCGGGTATTCAAATGTCTATATCTGACCATCTTTATGGGATTGTTTGTTAATGTGATGTATTGTTATTGGTAAATAAAGGAAATGCTTAAAATATTCACACATTTATTCATCATTTCATAACAGTTGGTAACAACAAAATTTCAGCTCAAATCAAGTCAACACACTTCGGCTATCAAATTTTCTTTTCCTCATTTTACGAACTCTGTTAGTTTTCATTTTGAAGAGCAAAAATCTTTTAACAAGTTTGAATTTGATATTATGGCAATTCTGAATTTGCAGCGGCAGCGTCATCAATGTCTTTTGTGCCTGAAGGATTACACTACTAATCCTTGAGCCCGAATGAGTTCCTTCGTTACACGCTGTACCACAGACCGGTTCACTTTGTGGTTCGAACTTTTCCTCCAAATCTAGATCGTTCCTGGCGACTTCCGGATCTGAATCCTCTTCAGTGTTCTGTTCATCTTTTTCATCTCCAATAGCAACCCATTCAGGCACCACAGCAGCAAAGTTCGCGTAGTTATGATCCAGAAGAGCCGGCGAAGAGTAGAGGGGACGGGATTTATAAAAGTTCAACAACCGATCGCTCTCTTCCGGTTCGTCTTCAGGAGGTAGCAAGAAAGCTTCAATCGACGGAATGGCATCTTTTTTTTTTTCGTTTTCTTCCCATTTTTATCGACGCGGAAGCAGTCCTCTAAGAAATGGGCCTGCAAATAATAAAAAAAGATCATAGCAACATTGATAAAATGCAAAACACTTGTACCGTCAACACTTACGCTACGGACTCGCGAGCTTGGTTTAATTTCGCTGGTTCCGGAATCCATCCGACAGAACTTAATCCATTGGGATCTTGTGATATAATCAGTAGGAAAGCGCAAAAAACCCAATCCAGGATAATTCCTGCTGTTCCGGCCGCAGTATTTCATCTGACACTTCATTTTGGCTGATTCACTACGAGTCCCTACAAGTGATGTTTCAACTCAACAGGTTCTGCAGAAATCAGACACTCTCGAGTCCCTTTAAAATCTAGAAGGAAGTTACGGCAAGGTGATGCACTTTCGTGTCTGCTATTCAACATCGCGTTAGAAGGTGTGATCAGAAGAGCTGGGATAGACACGAGTGGCACGATCTTCAGGAAGTCCATCCAGCTTCTTGGCTTCGCCGATGACATTGACATCATGGCACGGAACTTTGAGACGATGGCGGAAACGTTCATCAGACTGAAGGCTGAAGCAAGGCGGATTGGACTTGCCATCAACGCATCAAAGACAAAATACATGAGAGGAAGGTGATCTAGGGAAGACAATGTTAGCCTCCCACCCCGAGTTAAGATTGATGGTGACAAAAAAGAGGTGGTCGATGAGTTCGTGTATTTTGGCCGCCGAAAATTATACCAGCAGAGAAATTCAAAGACGCATTATGGCAGGTAATCGTTCCTACTTTGGACTCCGGAGGACGCTCCGGTCGAATAAAATTCGCCGCCGCACGAAGTTGACTGTCTACAAGACGCTGATTAGACCGGTGGTCCTTTACGGCCACGAAACCTAGACTATGCTCGTGGAGGACCAACGCGCCCTTGGTGTTTTCGAACGGAAGGTGTTGCGTACCATCTACGGTGGAGTGCAGATGGATGCCGGAACGTGGAGGAGGCGAATGAACCACGAATTGCACCAGCTGCTGGGAGAACCATCCATCGTCCACGTTGCAAAAAATGGGCGACTACGGTGGGCTGGGCACGTCGTAAGAATGCCGAACGCCGACCCAGTGAAAATGGTTCTCGAAAGCGACCCAACAGGAACACCAAGTAGAAAGCGACCTGCGGACCCCTCGCAGACTACGAGACTGGCGAAATGTGGCCATGGATCGAGTAGAGTGGAGACGACTTCTTCATACTGCAGAGGACAACAAGGCCTTAGTCTGATTGGTAACGTAAGTACCTATCTGAGTCTCAGGTGTAAAGGCAGCTAAATCGTTATCGAAGAAAGTTCTCTGCGGAGTATAGAGAATGATACGCTCTGAGAAATTGCACTTTCAAGGGACACTGTTCTTTCGTTCCACTTCGCGGTAAAGCGTTCCCCTCGTCTGTTTTTAATTTGTTTGAACATCTTTTCTCCTTTATTACACTTTATGATCGAAGATAGTTTTTTTTTGTTTTGTTTCAATGTTTTCTTTTCATTTGTCCAAGAGTACAGTGGGTTTTCTTTTCGTTTTCTCCTGCTTTGTATGGTTATAATTTAAAATGATTTCCGTTCCTAAATTCCTAATTGGATTTTACTTGTATTCTCAGCAGAATTCTGATATTTTTACAATTGTTATTATTACTACACTATCGTGTTTTGCGTTAAATTAGCTACGGGCATTTTACTTTAACGTTTGGTGGGGGTGGGATGTGGGAGGAATATACAACTTAATAATGGGATCCTTTTTCGCGCCACTATTATTTTAACTGCTAAGACCCAGCGACGTCAGTTGGAGGGGATGGATGAGGGGAGGGGAGAGGGGGGACATTTGCACTACAGTCTAAAATTTAAATAGCATTAGAACCGGATTCAAACTGACAGTAAACGTAATAGTACAAACTAAATAAAAAGGAAAAAGAAAAGAACATCGATCAGCAGAGCAGTGTTGCCAGGTAGTTCTAAAGCCAAAACGAAGCACAACAGTTTCAGTCACCCAATTCCGCGTTCCCCAATTCGGTTTTTCTTTTACATCATAATAGTAGTCAACAACGAATCAAAATTATGAAAACAGTGTGAATGCGCTGCGGGGAACCGCCGGAAGGGGTCCTTAGAATATCATCAGTATGCTAATAATGGTAGAGTCTAACTGTTCTCCAGATTCAACTGATGCTGATACAAGCGTACTAACAGACCTCATTCACATTTGGATTTACACATGGGCTTACCTCCTATCGTTCCCTGTACCACCTGCCTCGGGGTTTCCGCAGCTTTCGCGGGGAGTATTTGATCGGACCCGGCGTCGGTGGTCGGTCCTTGATGGACTTCCGCTGCGTGGGGGTATCACATTCCAACGCCGTCGGATCTTCGCACTCCAGCGACGAGCTGGCCGAGTTCAGTTCTTCCGAACAGCTGGGCGACGGGGAACCGATGGAAGCCCCGGAAGTGACTCCGTTGAGCTTGTGTTTCTTTTTCTTCTTCTTCTTCTTTTTCAGCGGCTTCCCAGAGGAATTGACATGGGCGCTGGTGAATATCGATCGTTTGTACGTTTTGACGGGAGTCCGCGAGGATGATCGGGTTCGCATGGTGGTCGGACAGTTGAGCTTTTCTAGGCAAACGACCGGTTGGAGGGTGTCGGATTTCCGTTTGCTGGGAGGACCGGCCGCCCCGTAGCTGAGATGGCGGGTGGTATTCTGGCGGGCGCGGGAGGCTGGTCGAGACTGTCGCGTCGGTTGTGGTTCGGGTGGTGGTTCGTCCTGTGCTTCCGTCGTGGCCGGTTGCGGTGTTGCACTGCTGTTCCGCTGAGATCCGGGGGGAATGGCCAGGGGGTCTTCGATGCACTGCATGTTGATCAGAGTGGACGACGTCGTATCACAGTCATCGCTCACGAAGATGCTCCGGGAGCTGATCGAGTCGCACTCCTTGTCGTCGTCTTCTACCGTCACAGTAGCTGGACAGGAGGTGCTGCTGTTGTTGGTGGTGGATTTGCTGCCTTTTCCGGTGGCGATGTGATTTGGTACCGGGAGAGCTTCGCTGCTGGAGTTGGTGACGATGGTGGTTGAGCTCGACGACGAAGGCAGAACGTTGTAATCGACCCGGGTCATCGTGGTGGTGGTCTTTGTGACGTACTTGCTACTCGGTAAGACCCGACTACTGCTGCTGCCACTGCTGCCGAGGCGACTAACCGACCGGGGAATAGTAGCTTCTTCCACCTTGCTAGGAAGGGGAGTGTGTCCGCGTTCTTCCTTCTTGGGTACCTCAACGACTCCTTCCTCTTCCTCATCCTCCGTCAGAAGCGAATCCATCTTCCCGTTTGGTTCCTCGTCGTCCAACATGGTCATCGTGTCTTCGAACTCATCCTCATCGTCCTCCTCCTCCACTTCCTCGTTTTCCTGCTTCACCATCGTTGTATCCGCCGTCAGGGCACTGATCTGCGACTCCTCCGTCGATGACTTCCTCGATCCTTCCCCATCCACAACAATCACACTTTCCCCGTTTTCCTTCTTCACCTCACCCTCATCCTCCTTCTTCACCTTCAGCTGCTGCTGTTGCTGTTGCTTCCTGGTCACAATGCGCTTCTTCACGTTGGGCCATCCAGTTCGGTTGATTCTCTTCCGGAACAGTCCCAAGTTTCCGCCTCCTCCCCCGTCAAACGACTTGATCGAAACGGCACTCAGGGGTCGCGGTTTCCGATCGTACTGCACAATTTTCCGCACGATACTTTCATGCCGGCTGACCTGTTTCAAACTGAGTGGCGGTTCCCTATCACAGGTTCGTAAAATATCCGCCAAGTTCTGCTTCAGCGGCTGCTTCACCCCAATTGGTACCGTCTTCTTCCGCAGTCCAAATAACGGCTCGTCCTCCTCGCTACCCACACTGCTCAGAAAGTCGTCCAGCTCTTGGCACATGGCTTTGTAGTTCACAAAGGTATCCTCCATCACTGGAGGATCGAACTTGATCTTCTTGGCACCGTGATCTTCCTTCTCCGTGACGGGATCACTTCCGCACGAGGACCGTATCTCATCGCCCAGCGCCGAGTCCGCTTCCTGACTGCTGTTGTGGTGCGCTTGTATGGCTGCCTTTTTCGGGCTGTAGGCGGACGGCGTCGGACTTGGCGGCGGCAGGTTGGTGGTGACGATCGGCACGCTGGAACATCCGCTGAATGTGCGCCGTCGGTTGTGCTGCTGCTGCTGATGGAGCAGACTGAGAATGGCCAGTGTTGAGGCATGCTCTCGGGGGCTCTTCCTCGGGCGGTCCGAATCGACGAGGAGTTTCCGCTTCTTCAGCGGCAGGGCCAACGGTTGCTTATCGTCGACGCCGCCCGAGGTGGCGGTTGTCGTTGCGTTGTGGCCACCACTACTGCTGCAAGTACTGCTGCTGCAACTGCTGGCAGAACTGACGGGAACGGCCGTTTCCGGCGTTTTCGACTTTAGCCGGTAGTTGAGGATGCAGCAGTTTTGCTTCACCGGAGGCAGCGGCCCCATCTCGTATGGCAGTTTCCGGTATGCTGCAGAAAAAGGGAGAAGAGAATGGGTCGAGTTAGTTATGGTCCGCTGTGGCACCTTTTTTAAATTTGTCGATGCTTTTGCGTCTCCATCACGACGCATGGTAGTCTAGTCTCATAGGAGTATTGAGTGAAACCCCAAAACATGATAACTTCAGAAAAATATAATTCGAAAACACTTCGCCGATTTTTTACACAACAAAAAGCCTAAGTTTTCAAGGAAAAATATAAAACATATTGCGCCCTCTGTCTACAAACCGTCCAAAGCTTAAAAAACAAATACAATCAATGTTTTTCAATACGAAATCCTAGTTTTTTTTTTAATATCACTAAAAGGTATTTTTAATTATAAGTGGTTCAAAAGTTATGATTAAAAAAAATGCAATTGTTGGACCACCCTAACTGGAAATGGTCACCCTAATGGCAAAATAAAAAAATACGGGTCTAATATTTTGCGATAAGGAACAACACTACAAATTTTTACGAAATTCCGAGAACCACTATATCGTTTTGCCAAAGATTAATTTATTAGTTTTGAATTGTTTTATCTAACAAAAATTAAAACAAAAAGGATCGTAGTTTATGGACAACCCCCCCAATAGACTTCATTTCAAAAGGTTTTTTTTCCAGAATTTATTCAAAGCTGCTGATCCCGTAATGGATGCTTCAAAGTTATTTTCCTAAAACGCAACTCACCGGTATTTCCAAAGTACTCGTACACTATCTCCGAGCAGTCGTCCTGTCTCTGGAACGTCTCGTACCACGGCTCCAGCGACGGGACCCGTTCGAACGCGAACCGATACGGTTCAATTTCCTTACAGTTTTTCCTAAAATTACTCCATCGGAACACCCCCATCCCATCCTCCTTCCCCTTGTTGACGTAGTTGATGATGTTTTTGCCGCAGTTCGACAGCTGCTCCTGGTGCTGGTAGGGCGAACTGGGCGATGACCTCGTCGCCAGCAGAAGATCGTGTTCGTGCTGCTTGTGACTGGTACTGCTGGTCATCGTAGCCGGTGCCGGTGTTTTGGCCCGACACCGCTTGCCACGGGCCTTCGACGACGACGACGACGACGACGATGGTTGTTTGCCGTCGTTGGCTCTATCGGCATCATTTTCTACTGCTGCGGGGCTTGGCTGGATGGGGGCTTCCGGAAATCGCAACCTGGATCCCGGATCAGGAAACTTGTAATACTCGGCGTTGTCCTGGAGAAGCGCTGCCGGTCCACGGGCCACTCGTCGCGATCGCGGAGCAGCTTCCTGATCGGAATCCTTAGCTGCCTTTTTGTTGGGCGATTCCGGTGGTAGGAGTTTCATCGACGTCGTCCGCTTCCTGCACGAAGGAGTGCCAGCCTGTTTTCGCATGCTCAACGAATTCCGGTGGTCCAACTCACTGCTCGGAAGGTCCTGGCTCAAATCTCCCGGTCCCATCTCGGACGTCGTGTGACGATCTTCGTCCGTCTGGTCGTCGGAACTGTCGTCCTTCTTCGGAAACATGAAATTCTCTGCTTCGTCGTTCAGTAAACTTAGTTCAGACTGCCGAACTCGGCGGATTTTCACAATCAGTCCATTTTTGTTGGATTTGCTAGGGCTGCTACCTTCCTTGGAACCCTTCGTCGGAGATGCCGGTTTCTTGTTCTTCGGTTTGGGATCTTCAATGACCTTGTAGAGCAGGGGAGACTTGACCGGTGGCCGGGCTTGCGGTGAAGGTGCCCGCCACTGAATGCCGCGGATTTTAACGTCCAGCGGTCGCTTCGGAGATGCGGGTTTCTTCTTCTTGGATTCGTTTTCACTTGCTTCCTTGGCGGTCTTTTCCAGAATACTCTGCATAATCTCCTCCTGGGAAGCGATTTCGTCTTCCCTCGGTTCTGAGTAGTTGACCCGTTTGGCCGATTCCCTCCGAACTCTTGGCTTCCGCATCGGTCCGAGCGTCTCGTCCAGCAGACTGGTGAAATCTTCGTTCAGATTGGCCCGCTTCGGATTCTGCCGCAAGCCCAAACTGATCCTCTTGGTATTCTTCGGATCCAGCCCTTCGCATTCGAGCATTTCCACCGGATGATGCACCACCGCCGGTTTGAGGCTGGACCCCTTCAGTCCCATTCTGTCCGCTGCACCGCGTTTCGATTGACGATCTTTCTCCTTTTCCTTTTCGCTCGGGCCGTTGTTGATTGGTTCGTTGTTGAGCACTTTCATCTCATCAGCCGGTGGCTTTGGAACTACCACCGTCGACGGAACGGGAACTGCCACGACGCTGTTGAGATTGAGGATCGTCTGCTGCTGGAGCTGGCGGGCCGCTTTCACCTTCTGATGATTGTGATGGTTCAGTGTATTGTGAGGATGATGGTGGATCGCTGATCGTCGCCCAAACATTTGCGTTTCGGCCGCGTCCGTTGGTGGTTTGGATGGTTCCGGCGGAAGGTCGTCGTCGTCGTCGTTGTCGGCGCTTCCGGCTGCTGGCGGGTCGTCTGGTGCTAACGAAGTCGGTGCTGGTGCAGATTGTGCTGCTAGTGCTGCTGCTCTACGGGCTTGCCTTCGACCTGCGTACGTGCGTTTGGCAGGAGGAGATCTGGTTGATGATCCGTGTGATTCGGGATCTTCGGTAGCGCAGATGATGCGGTTTTTGTCTGCAAGAAAGAGGACAGAGAAATAGGAGAAATTGATTAATGCATGCTGCTCAAATATGAAAGGTGAGATCTTGTGCGCCACGGGAGTAGACAATGGCCTTGAAAATTTTCAAAAATGTGGAACTTCGAAAAATTGAAAGTTTATAACAACTTGAATAATATTCTCGAGGGGGACGACTCTATCCAAGATGCTGGAAATTGTGAGATGCACGCACGCTTAATAGATAGAGAGAAGATTGAAGACGATTTTTTGAAGATTTCTTGCGATGTGAGTAGATGGATTTAGATGCTAGAGATGAAAAAGGATTTGTCGAAGATTGATTCGCTAGCGTGAGATTTTTCGACCATCCAAAATCGAGATTTGGATGTGTCGCACTTCTCGAATATTCTATAGAATTCTAACGAGAATATTTGTGGAATTTCGTGGAAAGTTTAGTATGTTAATGTCAAATAAATGCTGACAAAAATTCTAAGGAGTTCTGATCAGAGAACTACAAGATATATTCTGAAAGAAGTGCTAAGGAATTCTGAGATTATTTCTAGACCAACAATTGAAATAGGCGGAACAACCAAACGTAAACAATGGCTTTAAACGCAAATTCCTCGAGAATCAAAAAAAAAACATCCAAGCAATCTAACACCGTCGTCTGATAGAGCAAACTTCCTTTATCGATTGGCATTGTTAGTTTGCGTGCGTCCTATTTCATTTGTTGGTCTAGATTTCTGAGTATTATTGCTAAGGTAGAGGTGAGGCGAACTTTAAGGAGAATTGTATGGCAATCATGAGGTGAACAGCAGGTTAATTTGAGAGAGAAGAGAATCCTGATGGGAATTCAAAGAGAATTACAAACAGAATTTAATGAGTGTTCAGAGAGCAGGGTTCTGCAATCTCGATACAAAGAAAAGAAAAGGAACTCTCCGCAGAATCGCTTCATTTCGAGCAACATTTTCGCGTAAGTCAATGCGTTTCTTGTTTTCGAGTCACGATGAACATCCCTAATGTCAATCATGAATTGGCTATCGCTTGTTCATCAGTTCATTTCCTTTGAAGCAAAGACTTGTTTCAATTGACGCAATAAATGAATGCTTCCGTCGTTTTTTCCACTTTCACTTCGATTCGGGACTCATTCGACTTGTCACGCGTCGCGTCGTCGGGCATCAACATATAGTATCCGGATAGTATCCGCAAAATATCGGTCGACGATAGGGATGCCATCCGGATTATAAGCAATAATTAATTGTTATTTTATATTAAACGAAAATTAAATTAACGAGGCCATTCCGAAGTCCAAGATGACGGCCATCGTGTTCAGAAAACGTTTCAAATACCCTACAATATGAGTATTTTTTGGAACGGGGACAATGCGTAGATGCCGAAAATCAATATTCGACGCCATTCACGAAACGAAAATCAAATATTTTATCCATGTGTTTCACTTATACAACATCAGCCTTATACATTCCATAAGATAAACCACATAGGTCCTATAAGAATGCATAAAAGGTATGTGTAACCGCTTATAGGGCTTTTGATCTAATTTCCGTCCTACTAAGCACAACCCGCGCTTTACCTCTCTTTTCTGAACGAATTTAAACAAAAAATGGAATATTTTTGTCAAAGATGACTTGCAAATTTATTCACCTTTCCATACGTACCGTTGGATTTGATAAAGAGTCACAAATTGATGAGATATTGTCTAAAATCTAACACTGCTTCTTGATTCTAAATTCGTTCTACGAGTTTCAATTCCGTCCAAACGCATTGAAACGCCATTAGATTTCCTTCGTCCTACGGATAAACGGAGAAAAAGGGGATGCGCTAGGAGCGCTTCTTTTGTTTTGAGAACAATGAGTGTAAATATGCATACAATGCGCTCTAATAGAATTTATGTTGTAGCTAATGAAGTAACGCATCGGAACAAACGTATTATTGTTTTGTGCATTGTGAAATCATTGATATTATTGATGATTTCTGCTCGATAGAACGGAAATGGGCGATTACGACGAAGTAGCGCTCTTCCCTACATTTCATTTGACACATGATCTTCATTAACGTTTTGCAAGGCGTCTGTTGACTTATACATTTTATGAATAATCAGCAATAGAAATTTGCCAAAAGGTATAAGGAGATTTCTATCCGTGTTTGTGGGATATTTGACACTTCTTCTGAAATCAGAAGCCACCATCTTGAATTGCAAGATGGCGCCATTCATAGATTCATAGATTTCCGGCATCTAGATGTCACCCCGATTCAAAAAAAAACCCACTTTTTCTGAACCAAAACAGCCATCTTAGATTCCAAAATGGCGTCAAACATCGGTTTCTGACCTCAAGACGTTACAGGTATTTCGAAAATAGGGTTAACTACCCCATTTCCGGCCTATTAAGCACAACCCGCACTTAGGCTGTGTTCCATTTGGTGAATTTTCACTTAAATTGGTCAGATGGAAAATTTTCAAATAAACCTGCTATTCCAGCAGACTTATTTCTAACAGACAAGGAATCAACTTTGACAGACGCTTTCTCGGAAATCGGCCGATCAACAACAGAGGGATTTTCGAACATCTTAATTTATTTTCGAAGTATCAAATTTAAGTGAAAATTCACCAAATGGAACACAGCTTTAGTCTTTCTCGATCTAGCGCAGTTTAGCACCAAACGGAATGGTATTATTACTGTTGGCTTCCAAATTTATTTACCTTTCCGTACGTACCGTCAGATTCGATAAAGAGAAACCAATCGTTGAGATATTGTCAAAAGTCTAACACTGCTTCTTGATGCCAAACTCGGTCTAACGCATTGAAACGCCAATGAATTCACTTCGGCCTATCGGATGATGATAAAAATTGATTCGGTCGGAACGCTTCTTTTGTTTTTGGGAATTATGGGTGCAAACCTTCATATCACACGTTCTCATTGACTTCGTTCGGTAGGTTATTAGCTGAAGTATCGTACCAAACGCATAATTGACTTGATAACTCTGCAATCATGGATATATTTGAAGTTCTCTGCTCGATAGGCCCAAAATAGGTGATTAGGCCGAAGTAGTTCTCTACCCTACCTATATCAGGGGGTAAGTTAAAGACTGAACACAATGATAGCGGCATAGCGGCAAGCGCATATTTTCCAATACACTGAAATTCGTTGAGTGAGTGCGTTGCGGCAAAAGCGGCATTTGTACTAAAATTTGTTTGTTTTTCAAAATTTTGGAAAAACGCGGTGCGGTTGAGCGGCAACCTGAGAAGTGCTCAATGTTTTCAGATGTATTTTTTGTATTTTTGAATTAACCAAAAACTTCAAGACGTGAACCAAATAATCATCTAAGGTAGTAAGTGAGTAGTCAGAAAAATGTTGGCCGCATCCGGACATGTTCTGGGCACCCCCGAGGAAGTGGTCAGTTTCTCCTTGAACCAACACCCTCATGCGACACATCGAATTACATGAGAATTCAAAAATATGACCATTTTTGTCCATATTAATTACTGAAGCCAGATCCGGACATGTTCCGGATACCCCCGGAGAAGTGAAACATGGACCTACATCCTCATGTGACGCATCGAACTACATGAGAATTCAAAAATAAGAACATTGGTGGCCACTGAGAAACCACGCTGACCAGACATGTACTGGGTGCTCCCAGGGAGTTTCATAAATTTCACGAAATTTTCCTGAGGCCAATGGAACTTCTCTGGAGTTCTCAGAAATTCCCTGACATTCTCTTCAGAACTACTCTGAAGGTCTCCTCAGAACTACTCTGAAACTCTCCACAGAACTACTCTGAAGCTCTCTTTAGAATTACTTTGAACTTCTCCTTAAAACTACTCTGAAGTTCTCCTCAGAACTAAGTTCTCGTCAAAACAACTCTGAAGTTCTCCTAAAACTACTCTAGATCTTCGATGAAGTTTTCAACATTTTCCTGAAATGTACGAAGTTAACTGAATGTTCTCTTGAAGATCTTTGAACTTTCCCCATATTCGGGACTTCTCTCAAGATATCACTACTCGCCAAAGTTCTTTAAACTTCTCAATAAATTAGAGTTCTCTGGACTTCCCTAAAACTCATGGAATTTTCCTTAAGCTCTAGCAGTTTTCCTAATATTCATAATTCTTCTGCGAAGCCCTAATAATAATAAAATGCCATAGAAGAATGGCAAATGATAGAACTATTCCACAAATGGTTTGCATGATACGTTAAGCAAACTAACCATAACAATTTTATTGGGGTGCTCTCGATATTTCCCCACGGTGCCCCACCCACTACTTCAAAGTGCTCCCAAATTGTTTGAAGTTAATGCAAATTCAGAGACGATCACTGAACTTTGGAGAATTTCAAAGCCCCATTCATAATAATTTTCATTTTCATTTTGCAGCGTTCGGTGGGGCAATGGGAGCGCAAGTCAATCCAAAGCCGAGGATAAAGGACGGGTAATGACTGAATAGTCTATGCGGACCACTTGAACGCCATGGGAAAAGGAAGGGATTGACGAGGCCGGTTATTGGGGGGTTTTGAGGAATGACACATAGTGATGCTAAGTGTAAAGAAACCGAATATCCATCTCCCACTGATTCATCCTTTCACATATATACCAAATTGATATTTTAAAGCAATAATCAAAATAAACAGACAATACATAAAAAGGCTAGCGGACCCTCCGCATCCTAACTCTTCTGTTAATCCACTTAATGCTACTAGGCTGTCTAAATTTTCTTATTTAAGTTCGTTTGATGATTATGATATCTCTAGTCTAATTTAATAAATAATTGAAATCTCTAATCTACCTACCATGCTTTATTAAGTACCTGCACTTGTGAATGTAATCCAAAATTTAACGTGTTTCAAGTTGTTTTTGACTTTGACCTATATTTAATATATATTAGTTCGTCCCAGGTGACACCTTCAAGTGACTAAAATGCTTCACTTTGAAGTTAGTTTCCTAGCTGATTTTTAAATTACAGTATATGCTTCAACTACGCTCACACGTTTCCACTATGTCGCACCAC